AAAGGGTTGACCACATCCGGTCTCGGCTGCGTGGGGTCTCCCGGGGCTGACAGCAGGGACGGGGCTGCGCAATCGCGGTCCCTAGGTCCTCACTCAGGGTCTTCCCCTTGATATCTAGTGCAGCCCGGGACTCCTCTCTCAATAGATCCGTATCAGAGAGCCTCCAGACAAGCCCTCACCTCCTGGGTCTGGACGAGAAGAATCTGGGCACCACATCCGGTTACCCCTGCCTGAGCCTCGGCGGGGGCAGGGCTCCGGGTGACACTGCTTTTGGGGAGAAGCCCCTCCTATGCCCTCGCGGTCCTCATCTTGACTCCGGTTAAAGCTAGGACTCTGGGACCACCAGTTAGCATAATGGCTATGTCGCTGGACTCCCATGTAGTCAACCGCGGTTCGAGTCCCGGACCCAGTGGTTTAAACTCACACTGGGTGGGTGTGCATGCGTGCCCAAGATCCTGAGAGGACAACGGAGGAGAAGGGATTGTGGTGTGCCATCCCCCCTGGGGGGTGATTTCTCCCTTTCTTCCTCTCTCTGTCTGTCTGGCGAGCGTATTTTTAAAAAAGTAATAACACATAGTTGATTGTTAAAAAAAAAAAAAAAAAGCCAGGACTCTTCCCTGTGCAGAACTGGGGCCACACTCTTAAGATAAAGGCCCTCGCCTCCTTCAGTTCCTATGGGAGAATTTTAGGCATACTGCAAATGATAGGCATTTTATGAAGCTTCATAAGTCTGAAAATAGGGTTAGCACTTTTTTTTTTTTTTTTTAGAAAGATCTATAATAAACTCATGAAAATAAATTGTCAACTAAATGTTGGAGGATTCCATTATCCTATTCTAAAAACAAGCTTTCATCTCTCAGAATATGCCCAAAGCAGGATCTATTCAATATATCATATTGATAGCAATTTGCTGTGGTCATTACCCTACAGTAACATTTCTACCTTTAAGAAGAATGTTTTAATTTTAAGAAATAAGTTAACATGAACACATTGTGCAAAATTCGATAAGCATAAAAGTCACTTCTTACAGACAAGTTTTAAAACTGAAAACCTGGGGCCAGCAGGCAGCATGGTGATTAAGGCACTGGACTCCCACATAGCTGACTGTAGTTCAAGTCCCAGACCTGGTAGGTTGCTTTCTCACTTTCTCTCTCTCTCTCTCAGTCTGGTGAGAGTACATTCCCCATAGCAAAATTCTATAAATAATGATAATAATAAATACAATTAATTAAATAATTCTCAATAAAATTCTGAAAACCTTAGTTAGGTTTGAAGTAGAGATCCACTTGGGAATGTGTTTTTAAACACTATATTCAATTAAAATAAAGATTATATCTGTTTGAAAGTACTGCAAGACAGCAGATATATGGAGAAGAATATGACCAAAATAGTCATATGTTACATATCCAGGTCATTAACTATCTTTAGCATCAAATAAAATAACTTTCTTAAATACACAGTAGTATTGCTTCTACAGAGACACGTGTCATGTAATGATATTTCATCAGTGACAGACCATATTATGACAGTGGTCTATTGAGATTATACCATATAACCTAGGTACATAGTAGGCTGTACTATATAGGTTTGTAAAAATGCACTCTATGACAGTTGCCACAATGACAAAATTACCTAATGAATATTTTTCTAAATGTATCCCCATAATTCAGCAACACATGACAGTAATTAATTTTTCTATAGGGTGTGTGTGCTCACCAGAAAGAGACAGAGAGAGAGAGAAATGTAGAGACAGAAAGAGAGAGAGAAAGTGAGAGTGAAAGTGAGAAAGCATCCCCATGGAGGGGGTGGCCATGCCGCAATCCCTTCTCCTCCATTCTCCTCTGAGGATTTTGAGCATGCACACAGGTATCCATGATACTTTTCAAGCCACCAGGTCCAAGACTCAAACCACATAGTTAATCATGTGGGATACAGCTATCTTAATAACCGTGCTACCGGCTGGCACCAGCTACTGGCTGCTCTCTTTCAATTTCTAGAGAACACAATCCATTAACTGATTCTCCAGTTCTTGCTTTTCTTAGAGAAAGAGAACTGTTAAAGGAAATGTTTTGGGTGTTGGCATGCACACACACATACACACACATACACACACACACACACACACACACCCCTACTATATGGTATACCCTTTATTTGTAGCTATATTAACATTTTTGTTTTAAAAAAAAGGATCTTAAAAATTTGTAATTTCATGTATGTGAGTCATAACTGCTATCAGCTAATAAAATTGGAATGTATGTTCCTCAACTCCATAGAGCAACAGCAGAATGGTGCAAGTTGGCCGTGCAGCCAAAGGAGTCAGGAATTCTTTTGTACTACAGCATAACCAAGAATGGGGAAAGTTCCCATCCACAGGCTTAAATATAAAACTTCCAAGTTGATGTTTTTCTGTGATCCCCTCTTTAAGGAGCAGTTCCCTGGTCAGCACCTGTAGTCCTCATTTGGATTCCAGTTAGGGCCAAGACTTCTCACTTTGAACAACTGAAGTTGCCATCTTAGACAAGGCCCTCTTGTCCCTAAAACCCTCCAGGTAGAAATGAGAGACATCTCAGTCTTTTGGCTCTGCCTGAGGCCTCCCAGGGCTAAGAACAAAGTAAGTGCTCTCTGAAGTCCCTTCATTTGTGGGTTTAGTGATCCCTTCATTTCAGTAGCTAGTGTTAGTTAACCTCTTGGCTGATTTCTGTTATACCTGATTTATTTTCTAACAGGAAGAAACTGTCCAGGATGACTCTGTGATCTCTGATTTTAAGTTTATATGACTTTGCTTATACTATGGTCACTGAATATTATCTCTTTCTCTTCTTTATTCATAAGTTTTATTTATTGTGGTATTCCTTGTTGCTTTGGCTATATATTGTAATCCTTTGGGCACAGAGTCCTTGTTTTTAATCCACTGAGATACATTTGAAAGCGATGAGAAGAAAAGTGAGTTAAGGAACACAGATTTGCTTCAGGGGCAGAGGAGTGAAACACACAGGGCGGTCTCTAAAAGAATTCAGGCCAGGGGTCTAGTTCCAGCCCTGTCATGTACTATCCTGTGAATTGAAACACATTACCAATCCCCAAGACAAAGAAATTGCAATCAAACAAAATGTTACTTAGCATGGAAAATTATACAATTGATTCTCATCAGAGAATATAATACATAATGTGTTTGTGGGAGCATTTTTCCTAGCTCATTCAATTTTTGTCAATGACCAATTTAATTTCTAATCTCAGATGCCCTTCCATGTAAATCACCTGTTTTCATTCATTTAACCAACACCCCAAATCTAAACTCCACCTAGAACTTGTCAAATTACAAGCAGTTGGTGCCAGTACAAAACAATCTAGTCAAATGGAGCAGGCTCTAAATCCCCCAGGCCAGGACAAAAAGTGCCAGCATAGTGGCTTCTGGGCATTCTACCTCTCTCAAGGGTATCACCCTTATTTCTCAAAATTCCCTGGTAATTATATGCAAAGAACACCTACTTTGTACACTGTGTTTGACTGTGCTGGTACAGGAGCACAGGGAACTTTCCATTTATGCCCCAGGTAGAGATTCTCTATGGTTTATTCACAATCTCAAAGTAAATGTTAAGGAGAGATTCTCATTCGTAGCTTAGTCTCTCAACTCTGAAACACACTGTCTAAGAACCTGACCCCTACTCAGTCCCTCCACTTGTCTAGCCCACCATGCAGCCTCACTGAAAATGTCCTCCCATGGAGGGACTCACAGTTTCCTAAAGTTCCACACCACCGAGTCTCAGGGAATTACACTCATTGCTCTCATCTCAAACCTCTCTTCCTCATCCTTTTTTTTGGGGAGAGATTTTCACTATAGGGCATGTGCACTCACCAGACAGAGATATAGAGACAGAAAGCGAGAAATCACCCCCCAGGGGGGATGGTCATGCCGCAATCCCTTCTCCTCCATTCTCCTCTCGGGATCTTGGGCACGCACACACACGCACCCGGCGTGAGTTTTAAGCCACCGGGTCCAGGACGCTAACTGCAGTCGACTACATGGGAGTCCAGCGACATAGCCATTACGCTAACTGCTGGTTCCCCTTTTTTTTTAAGTTTATTTATTTCTTTCATGAAGTGGCAAGCTGGAGCAAGTGACACACACACACGCACACTCAAAAACCTGTAACAGAGTCTTCATGCTGTGATCTCACTCCCAGCCTCAAACAGTTAGGATCATGGACACAAACACAATGAAACTTCACGACATGAAGCTGGGACCTTCCCATATGACCTCAGCATTGCAAGTGTTGTGTTACTGTTGTACCACCATGGTTGATTCTTCATTCCTTCTTTTTACTTGTTCTTTAGGTCTTAATTAGTATCATCTTTTTTATATGATAGCTGATCCTAGACTCAAAATTTTAATGGCCCGGGGCTAGATTATTTTTTAAAGCATTTCCGTTACTAGGTGAAGCCTTCCAAACATGATTAACACTAGTTAAATGTAAATAACAAATCACCAAAAAATTTTTTTAAAGCTAATAATGATTGGAGAATAAACAAAAGAGTATGAAGCATAATAAGTTAGAATATAATGTCTCCTCCATTCTTGATTAATTTGAGCAAATCAGGTATATAACTTTTAATTTTTCAAGAAGAAAGGCAAACCAAAAATTGACAGTCTTTTACTTTTTTCTTTATTTTTTTGATCAATTTTTCTACTGTGTTCATTCACACTTCCAAGAAAATCACTATTTTTATGCTCTTTCTCCAAAGGAGACATCAAAGTGGCCAACAGGTATAGGAAAAAGTACTTAACATCACTAACCATCAGGAAAATCCAAATCAAAATGACAATGAGGCTCAGTTGTGGTGGTACCTACTGCCAAAACACTGTATTCCACAGGCTGAGGCCACGCAGGAGGCACTAGTTAGATTCTCAGCCAATGCCCTCCCCACCTACCCAAACAACAACAACAACAACAAAAAGAAATAGAAGGAAAGAAAGGAAGAAAGAGAAAACTGGGTACAGTGGTGTGCACCTATAATCCCAGATACTCAGGAGACTGAGACACAAGCATTGTGAACTTGAGGATGGCCTTGGCAACATAAACACTGTCTAAAAAGCAGACAACTTCATAGCAAAAGAAACTATAATTAGAGTGAGAAAACAACTCTTTGAGTAAGAGAATATATTTGCAAGCTGTGCCTTAGACAAGGGACCGATAACCAGAATATAAAGGGAACTCAAGTAGCCTACCCATTTTTTAAAAAATCAATCCAATTAAAGGATGGGCAAATGAGTTGAATAGACAACTCTCCAAGGGAGACATATGAATGACCAAAAAAATATATGAAAAAAGATACCCAACACCTCTTATCATTTGGGAAATGCAAATCATAACCACAATGATACTACTCAACCCCAGTCGGACTGGCTAATATTAAAAATAAATAATGAAAGAAAGAATAGTTAGTGCTGGCGAGGCTGTGGTGAAAAGAGAACCCTCCTACACTGTCGGTAGGAATGTAAATTAGTACAGCCACTGTGAAGAAAAATATGGAAGTTCCTAAAAACCTACAAGTAGAATTACCACACAATCCAGTCATTCTACTCTTAGGCATCTACCCAAAAGATAGAAAAACACAGTTGGAAAAACACTTGCACCTTCTTATTTATTGCAACATTACTCAGTTGCTAGGACACAGAATCAACACAAATGTCCAAGAACAGATGAGTGGATTGAAAAAACGTGGCTCATGAACTTTATGGAATATTATTCAGCCATAAAAACAAATGAGACACTGACGTTTGACAAAAAGTGGATAAATGCAGAAGATTTAATGCTAAGAGAAGCAAGCCAGTCCATAAAAAATAAAACTGTATTCAGTGTTGTATGTCTTCACTATACACACACACACACACACACACACACACATATCTCCACTCTATAGCAGAAACTGACAGATTGAAGGTGTAATGACAGGGAGGGCAATTGTAGATACTAGAAACAATATAGGAGGGGGTGAATAATGGAGGTAGGAGAGAAAGGATCAAGGAAACAGACAAAACATTTAACAGACACAAAAATGAAAAGTTATCTGCTGATGATAATGTATATAGCAATACATTGCCTTGAATAATATGCACTGTATTTATGCCAGAAAAACCATGTTGTGTACTGTAAATATGTATAGTGATTAAATAAAACTTTTAAAAATGTTTTTTTTTTAAATGATGCCATAGCTAACTTTGGAAGAATACAAAGATTGTAATAGTTAAAATATGTTTTAAAAATAGTTAATTTTTTTTTATGGTGGTGCATGCCTGTAGTCCCAGCTGAGTAGCTGAGACAGGATGATAACATGGTAAGATCTTGTCTTAAAGAAGCAAAACATGGTCAGCCATGGTTAAGATGACTGGATCATATATGGCCAACTCTGTAGTTTGAGTCCCAGACCCAGTGGCTTGAAAAACACACCAAATGTGGGTGTGTGCATGCCCCAAATCCTGAGAGAATGGAAAAGAAGGGATTGTGTCATGGCCATTTCCACTGGGGGTGGGGTGGGGCGTGATTTCTCACCTTTCCCTATCTTTCACACCGAGATATCACCTCATATCTCTTAGGAAGACTATTACAAAAACAAACCCTGTCTCAGAGTACAATCTGGAGATCCTTCTTTTCTTAACTGAGGCCTCTCTTATAAAGACTCCCAATCCCCTGATATCCCTAAGGAAAAAGTGAAATTTACCTCATTTGGACAAAAGTGCTCATAATCTTCCTAGGCTAATAGTAGTGGAAGGAATCTGTACTGTCCACATTGCTATGGGTTGAATGGTCCCCTCAATCTTCAGGGTCCTCACCTTGACTTCTGAAATGACTTGGAAACCCTCTCCATACTGACCTGAGGCTTCCCCTTTGTCAAGATTCTTCACTCCCATAAGATTAACTGGGAAGAAGTGAGTATGATTCATCATGTCAGTGAGTTCCAGTGTCCCAGGTCTGAAAACAGGGACAGGGTTCTATGTGACCCTCTTCTTTCTGGGAGGAATCTCCTCATTGTCATTCAGTGTCATCATGTTGACTCCTATTAGAGAACAAATCTCCACTCCCTGCAGATGGAGCCTCCCTGATCAGCCTAAGGATTTCATTTTTCTGGGACCACCACTTACCCAACAAATGAAGGATAAACTCAGCCTGAAATCGCTGTCTATGGCCTCCCAGGGCTGACTGTGACTTTCTCTCTTTTTTAATTAATATTTTTGTAATACCATGATCATTATTATAATGTGATTTTACAGTGCATGAATACTATGGGTAAGGATCAAATCAGGGTAACTAGTAACATCTCAACTTTTTGAAACATTACATACAATTAGTTGTTGTTAACCTCATTCTCTCATTTTAGGTGTCCCTAAAAATCACCACCTCTATGTACATTAATACAGCCATATGGAGAATATGGAGGCTAGCCATTGTTCCTCCTATTTGCACTTTTCTTTTAGTTAATCAATATTCCTTTATTCCCCTAAGTCTAGTCCTTCCCAACATCCAGTAGTCATTCTATTTCTCTCTACTTCTATGAGGTAAGTTTTTCCCCTACTTTCCACATATGAGGGAGTAAGCATGGTATTTTTCTTTTTGGAGCTGGCTTCTTTCACTTAACGTAATGTCCTCCAGGCTTACCTATTTACCCTCAAATGACTAGATTTCATTCTTTTAAAATATTATGCAATCACACATATGTCTTTGTCCATTGTTGCATTACTAACAGAAATAACTGAAGCTGGATAATTTTGTAAAGAAATGTAGGTTTATTCAGCTCATAGTTTGTAGATCCAGAGTCCAATTTCTGATGAGGATTCAATATGCCAGAGGGCAGAATCTTAAAATAGATCAGAGCATGTGTGTCCATGTAGCCTCTCCCTGCCTCATTGCCTTTCTTTATACACACCAGAACTCAATCATGGATACACTGCCCTAACCACCCAATCATTAATTTCTTACCAAAGGCCCCACCTTTAGACACCATAGTCTGATTAAGTTTTCACTCTCTTAATCCTATTAAAATAGTTGAATACATGAATTTTGGGGAGACATATCCAAATTATAGCAATATATATGTACATATGTATATGTGTATTATTATATATGTATATATACACAGACACACACATATCACATTTTCCATTTTCTTTATTCATTCATCTATTGATGGACGCTTAAGTTGCTTCCATATCTTGGCTATCGTGAATAGTGCTACAGTAAAATTGGGGTGCTGATATTTTCACAACCCACTTATTTCCTTTCCTTTGGATAGATAACTATTAGGGGAATTAATGCTTAGTATGGCAGTTCTATTTTTAGTTCCCTGAAGAATCTCCATACTGTTTTCCATATGGCTATACTAATGTACATAGAGAGGGGATTTTTAGGGACACCTCTGTTCTCTGTTAACCTCTGGGGTAGTTGGTTGCATCATTTTTCATATGGGATTTTACCTTGATACCTATTGTGGCCTGAGATTCCTCTTTGGCGAACTGGGTGGCTAGCCTGTAAACCAAGTCCCTCACCTCTTTGAGATCCTCCATGCCAAAAGTCAGGGAAACCTAAGTTTGCCATTTTTTCCGGGACCTCTCAGGGCTAATAACAGGAGAGGGACTAGGTCATATCCACATGGAAAGTCTTCACCTTGACTCTGTACTCTTCTTGGGACTTTAATGACCTGAGGACATGACCTTCAGACAAAAGTTCTTACTTTGCTAGGATCAGAATAGGTAGTCAGTGTTAGCCACAAGCATCCAGGACATTTTCAGACTTCCCAGGGCTAACAACCAGAATGTGACTTTGGGACTTCACTGTTCTGGCTTGGTCCTTGCATTATCCTCATTCAGTTATTTCACCTTTATTCCTATGAGGTGCCAGAACTCCTTTCTTTAATTACCTGAGGATGCTGCCTTTAGGGCTCTTACATCTCTCAGAAGTCTAAAGAATATGTGAGTGCAAGCACTTTTCCAATGAAGAATTCTTCTGTCCTTTGGGTATATACTGAGGAGTGGGATCCCTGGATCATACGGCAGATCTATCTGTAGATTTTTGAGGAATCTTCAAGTTATTAAGATATTTTGATCAACGGGTCTGGGGAGAAATGTGCACATATCGAAATGGTCTCATTGTAAGTCAAACAATATGATTGAAAGTATATACAAAAAAAAACAAATAATAAATAATGTGGAAAAAAAAGAATATGTGAGTGGATGCTCAGTTTAATGGCTTTGTCTGGGATCATCTGTGCCTAAAAGAAGGTAGATCTGATTTCTCTGTGACATCCTCATAGTCTGTGATGTTAGTCTTTCCAGTCCTCCTATGTGGGATATTGGTCTCCCCAGACCTCATTTTGACCTTGTCTCTTGGATCAAATGCTTCCTGTGAAATGTCACATCTCTATAAACTCCAAAGCACTTCCCTCTTGCAGAGAATGAGTCCCTGTCCTATAAGTGATGTGAATTCAGGAAGATATAGCATTGGCGGGGTTTTAAATGGGAGGGGGGGGGGGGGGGGGGGGGACTCAGGCTAGGTGGAGGGCTGTCATTAAAAATCAAAAGAAAAACATGTTAATCTATTCTTTCTTTTCATCAGCCAGGTTCTCATGTAACTTCAGTCTTAATTGATTTACTTTATACAGGGAAGATGTTCTGGGAAGCCCCTGATCTCTTGAGGTTATCTAACATTGCAAATGTATATAATCATACTGTCAATGAATATTGTTCTTTCATTTCTTTATTGATATCTCTCAATTACTTGAGTATTTTTGTTGTTCAGGCTGGTATTCCAATCCAGCAGGTTGGGCACAGTCTTTATCAACTGAGACACACTTTGGAATACAAAGAAGAAAACTGAAATAAAAGATTTAGGATGTAACTCAGATTGGGGGAAGTGGAACACTGTGATCTGTAGAGTAATTAAGACCAGGGGTCTAGTCCCAATCCTACCACTCAATAGACCTTCGACCCCTGACACATTATCAAACTCTGAGTCTCAGGCTTTCTACTCTGAAATGGGATTAATATGTCCCATCTTGAAGGGATGGTGGAATATATGTAATGTATACAAAGCATCTGTGCTATTTATCTTGTATTGATATATTAGGAAGAGGCACTTACTATCATGATTTTGACCTGAGACATTATCATCTACCCAGTTGGGATTTTTTTTTTTTAAATCCAGGACATGTCAGAAAATATGCAGCATTCTTATACCAAAAACAAACAAACAAACAAAACCCCAAGAAAACAAAGCAACAAAAACAAGAAACAAAAAAGGAAAAATACAAAAAACAAAAACAAAGAACAAACAAACTTGGAAGCAGCCCAAATGTTGCTAAGCAATACAAATTATGTAATGTTTTTCCTTACGCCTTCTTTACCATGCTTTTTATTTCTTTTATGAATTAGAAAGTATACCCCTTTATAATGATAGCTTCTAGAATATATAATTGCATGGGCAGGAGGTGGGTTTTCTTTTTTTTAATTTTTTATTTATTATTATTGCTTTTTAATCTGACCAGAGAGAGATGGAGGGGGAGAGAGATAGAAAGAAAGTGAGAAAGCAAGTCTCCAGGTCTGGGACTTGAACTGTGGCTTTCCATGTGGGAGTCCAGTGCTTTAACCACCATGCTACTTGCTGGTCCTGGGTTTTCTTTGATTAAACAATCCCAGTACAAGCACAAAGACTTTCAAAGGGCAGATGCTCAATGAATGTCTGGGTAAATAAGAACCATGCACAAAAGGTCTAATTCTCTATAATTTAATTTTTCACACATTCTTGAATCACAGACAAATCCAGGTATATATCTTACTAAACTTGCAAGAAGAAAGACAAAAAGGAGTCAATCAAAGCAACAGCTGAACAACTTTTACTTTTTTCCCCCTCTAAATTCTGATACTAATTATTTTACTGTGGAGTTTTTCATCTTTTCAAGGATATCCCTACTCTAATGTTGTGCTATTTTGTTCTGAATCATAAAAATGCTTAAGGATTTCCTATTTGTATCTCCAAAAACAAAACTCTCACTACTGAACCTGGTAAACGTCAATAAAAATGTGACCCATGTCATTCATACACTTACATTCTGAATTTAAATAAACCTTCTGTTGAAAGGAGCACCAGTTTCAACATTTTTTTCAAAAAAGATTAGTCAACAAGTTTTCAAGCATTAACAAGAACAAAGGTTAACATAATTTTCAATTTTTCAATCACAAGGTAAAGAATCTGCCTCAGTCTTCACTAGATGTGGCAGTAGTAGCTGAATGGTTGGGCTTGGCCCTGGGACTCGGCCTGGCCTTGATAATAGTAGTGCTAGGTGTGGCTGCACCTCTGGCTTGGGCTCTCTCTTCCTCATCTCTCAAAGCCTCTTCATAAGAAGATGGAAAGGCACGGGGGATAGTATCATTGACCTTGGCCAAAAACTCCAGGACTCTCATCTTGCTGGTTTCAGCATGGGCTCTGGGACCCCACAGGAACTGATAACGTGGGGGATGACTATTGGGTACCTCACAGTACTCCAGGTACTGCTCCTGCACCAGATCTTCGGTAATAAGCTTTCGGGGCTCCCCAAATATGAAGTGCTTTTCACCATCATAGACCCCCAAAATATTCAGGAATTCCCAGATCTCCTCTTCGGTGGCCTGGTTACCATTTAAGAATATCACACCCAGGAGAGGCATCAGAAGCCCTTTCCTGGGAAAGGCCAAGCCACTGCTCACATCCCCATCGTCAGTGAGGTCTGGCTTTATAACAAAGGCGTAAGACTGACCTCTAGGGTCAGTTTCTTTTAACTCAAGGCCAAAGATTAGCTCTATGCGCTCAGAGGCTCTTTTGAGAATCTCAGGGAAATCCTCCTTGTACCTTCTATTGACAACCTTCTGCATGTCTCCTTTCCGAATGGGCTCTTGCATTTTATACTTGTACAGCAGGAACTGCACCAGCATTACTGCCTTCCTATTTAGAGGATCTTTTTCTAAATTCTCAATGGCAGATGGGGCCTCAGAGGATCTTATGTTTTTCTTACTTTGCCTCTTAGCACCTTTATTAGATTTTTTGTGGGAATCACCTGCAGCAGCAGCAGTGGTGATAGGTGGGGCACTCTTAGGCTCCTGGGGAGAGCCAGCAGCAGGGGAGCGTGGGGCAGCATCTCCCAGAACAGAAGAGGAGCAGCAGAGGGACTCTTTTTCCTCTGCTGCAGGGGCCTGAGTACTCTCAAGATCCTGGGTCTCCTCTCGGGCCTGCCGGCGTTTCTCCCGTGCTCGGAGCTTACTCTTCTGACCTCGAGGCATGGCGGCTGTAGACAGTGACAACAATCAGGAGTATGAGCAGAATGGCAGGTGATGCAGGACCTGGAAGAGGGACAAGGAGATCATGTGAGTACCTTCACAGAGAGAAGACAGCTTTTATTGAAAGTAGCCTGCTTCTGAAATTTCAACAAGGCTACCATTCTAGGAAGCCATAGGGCTCCTGTTCTCCTTGTTGGCCTGTCTGCTGAGACTCCATAAAGGAGCCATTGAACACTTAGAGTGAGTCTTAGATTGTATTTTGCCAGTCTTGTCTTGGCTTACTGGGGTGATAGCAGGTCCTGGCAGGGGTTGGGTGTAGATCACCCATATCTTTCACTGTTTAGGCCCTTCTCAGTTCACCTTTCAAACTTTTACAAAAACTCTTGACAGAGCTTTGGCCACTCCATTTTACTACCCTGAAGATGACAGCTGAAAGCTCCCTAGGACACATGAGAAGAAATTGAAGATGTGCTTCAGGTCACTGCTCTGAAAGGGGACACTCAGTGCTGAGAGTTCACTGGGTCCTTTCTAACTTGGGCCTCTCATAAGATCCTCAGCCCTCATTCAGGGTCCTTATCTTGGCTCTCCATAAACAATGGCATTATCCCCTTGCTGCTGACTCATGGCTGCACATTCAGACTAAGGATCTCACTTCTCTCGGGTCTGCCACGAAAAAGTTGGGGGAATACTCAACCTGATAGACTTTCCCTGGGATTTCTATGGCTGCAAATTAACAGTTACAATAGATTCAGGAGTTTTGAAGTCCCCTCTATTCAGGGTTAGGTGGCCTCTTGAGTTCACACTCAGATTCTTCTCTTAGGCTCATAGCAGAATTACTCTTTTTCTTGTACTGAAGCCTATGTCCATATAGTAAGAGCCAACATACCGTACACACAATAGGAGGAAGTAAAAGTGGCTTTATCTGACCAAATATGGTCTTCTCAAGAATGAAAGCTGTGACAGGAAGGTTACTGCATTGTGATAGATAGTCCCACACAGGGTCCCAACTCATTGTCTAAATTTGACCCATGAGAGGATCCAAGATTTCTCCCTCAGCTGAAGTGTGACCACCACCCTTAGATCAAGACCCTACTTTGTCTCTCAATCCTGAATGGGAATGGAGGGACACCTATGCCTGATATTTACGTCTTAGGTCTCCCAAGGATGCCAGCAGGGAGGACTCTGTGTATCCCCCATTAGTATGGGATGAAAAGTCTCTGTAGTCCTCAAAGTTCTCCTCACGACACCAGGCACAACCTAGAAATCCTTCCCCTGCTGATGTGAGCTGCCCTCTTTTACCTGGTTCCTCACTTCTTTGAGATACCCAGGAAAGAAGTGAGTGTCATTCATCCTACCAACATGCCCATGTCACCCAGGCCTAACAGGGATATAACTCTGTGTTAGTCCCTTCTTTCTGGGAGGGGTACCCTCTTTGTCATTCAGTGTCACAAACTAGACTCCTGCTACAGACTGGGTCTATTTCTTTAAAACCAAGGCCATCACCTCACTGAGACCACCTCAGAAGACATGAGGAAGTATCTCAAATTGCTAGGTCTGCCATGAGCCTCCTATGCTGACAGCAGAGTTGAGCCTCAGGTGTAGCCCTCAACTCTTTAAAACCCTGGAGAAGAAGTCAGGTCTCTCCACATTTGTCTATTCTGCTTGAGGCCTCCTAAAGTCTTCTTCAAGGGTGCTGTTCAGTATGGCTCTCTATTTCGGGGAGAGATCTACTTATTGGCACTCAGGACACTCAGCTTAACTCCAGTTAGAGTCAAGGTCACCATCCAGGATACACTCTAAAACCAAGGCCCTCCCTTCCCTGAAACTTTCCTGGCAGTATTCAGCCCATAGCCTTCCCAGCCAACCACAGGGATGAAATTTTGGGTCCCTCACTTTGTTACAAGAGGTAGGGGTGGACCCTTTAGTACATATTCATGGTCCTCACCTTGATTCAACTGGTCCTGGGAATTTACCCTCCGACAACAGACATCAATCGACGCACTGCTCCTCCTCCGACAGAAGTTCTGGCTCTCAAAATGAAAGTGAGGGTGGGGGGACCAGCAGTTAGTGCAATGGCTATGTCACTGGACTCCCATGTAGTCGACCGCGGTTTGCGTCTCAGACCTGGTGGCTTGAAACTCAGGCTGGGTGCATGTGCGTGCATGCCCAAGATCCCCAGAGAATGGAGAAGGGATTGCAGCGTGGCCATCCCCCTGGGGGGGGGGTGATTTCTCGCTTTCTGTCTCTCTGTCTCTCTCTGTCTGGTGAGCACAAGC